AGGAGGTGGCCGGGGCGGCGACGTTCGAGCTAGTGGCACTGGCCAGGGCGGCGACGTCGTGGCCGTCTCTGTTTGCTCAGCCGGCTCGTCGTCGACGAAGGATGGGTAGAGAGGAAGAGAGAATGTCGAGTCTCTCGACTGAGTCAGAAACGAAGAGATTGTTTTAATTTTCTTTTTAGTTTCATTTTTTTAAGAATTATTTGGGTTTGGATTTTATAACCCAAGTTCATGGGTAAAACCCAAGTAAACCCAACATAATGGGTATGGGTATTGGCCCATATGACTTTATCCATTTACACTTTAATTGGATTTCATACCCAACCCAAATGGTTGGATAGTTATAAACCCATGGGTATGGGTATAATTGACAAGCCTAGTAAAACATCAGCCGACCGAGCTAAAATTTTCTTTATTTTTTTTTTAAATTTTGTTCAGCCATAGGCTGGGTAAGGATTTTTATTTTTATAATTCATTTGTATTTCAAAATCAAAGATCAGTGACTACATTGCTCTCTCTGGAAAGTAAAGTGACCATAAAGACAGGTGGCCTATCCAGCCACATTTCAGTTTTTTCAGCTCTTCCTTTCAATCGTGCCATCCCATGGGCACATTCATTTCCTTCCCTCTTCCAGAATCTCCACCCAACACTTCCACTTTCCTCCGCTATCTCCCGAATTTCATCACAAATCATCGCCACCTCCATATCTGTGGTCTCCCGCCGATTAAGCTTATGAATTAGGGTTTGGCAGTCTGCCTCTAGCAGCACGCTTGGGGTTGGTGAGCTCGAGCTATATGCAGTCCCCACAACATCGCCTCCGCCAGTTCAACCGGCCATCGCACTCTTGTCCGGTGAGTAGCTCCCATGATGAAATTGCCATTACTATCTCTTAAAACCATTCCATAACCTGTTCCTTCTTCATCTAGGATCGCCGCATCTGTTTTCAGCTTGAGGACGCCCGCAGGTGGAGGCTCCTAATTCGCCCTAGTTCAGGTTCTTGGCGCTGAAGGTCCTGGGTTGCCCTGGCCTTGATGCTCCGCGTACTCTTCCAGGTAATTCTGGGCTTTCCCCACAATCTCTCATTCTTCTAACTTAGGGTTGTTGAAGAGATGGTTGTTGCGCTCTTTCCAGAGGAACTAGAGCGTGGTTAGCACTTTAGTTAGCTCTTCCCTGTTTGCTTCCTCTAGCAGATCACATAACCAAGTCTCACAGTTTTTCCCTTCCCCATCTGAAAGAATTTTGCCAGGTTACTAGGTCTCCATACCCTTCCTGCCCAATCGCATTCCCTTGTGATATGCTCCTGAGTTTCCAATAACCCACAGAAAGGGCACTCAACAAATGCATCTTTAATTCGTCGACTTAGGTTGACACCTGTTGGTAGGATGTTACTTCCTCACCTCCAAACAAATATACGAACCTTTGGTGGCAGCTCAAGCATCCATAGATGCTTCCAATCTACAGGCACATAGTTCTCAATTTGGTTTGTAGCTTGTGCCTTCCTCCACTCCTTAAATCCCGATCTGACTGAGTATTTGCCAGTCTTCTCTCTTCCCCAACTCTGTACATCAGGTCTAGGTTGGGGGGGGGGGGGGGTATTGGGATCAGCTCGATTCGAAACCTGTCATTTGGTTGGAAATGGGATTGCAGTAGGTGTCTTTTCCATGACCTTGTTTCCCAATTGATCAGACTTGATACCCTCTCCGTGATCCCCAGCCTTGTCGCTTGTGATTGAATTTTGAAATTTTTTGCCTCTGGAATCCAGCGATCCCACCAGATTCGAATGTCTTCGCCATTTCCCGCCCTCCATCGCATACCTTCTCTCACCAGGGATTCAGCCTGCATGAGGCTTCTCCAAATGTAGCTAGGATTTGATCCCACTGACGCCTCCAGAACACCACAGTGTGGATAGTAGCGGGCTTTCAGGACTCTTGCCACTAGTGACTCAGGTTTCTTTAGGAGATTACAAACCTGCCTTCTAAGTAATGCAATATTAAACCCTTGCAAGTCTCGAAACCCCATTCCACCCTCATATTTAGGGCGACATAGCTTCTCCCAACTCATCCAATGGATTCTCCGTTCCTCCCTCTTTCTTCCCCACCAGAAACTTGCAATCATTTTTTGAATTTCTTGTATAACACCTTGGGGTACCTTGAAATCTGACATGGCATATAAAGTTTGAGCTTGTGCCACTGCCTTGATAAGTACCTCCTTGGCTGCCATAGACAAAAGTTTCCCCTTCCACATCTTGATTTTGTCTCTTACTCGATCAATTAGCTGTGCAAACACAGCCTTTTTGGCTCGGCCAATAACTGTTGGGAGCCCTAAATATTTATCATGGTATATGACCCTTTTCATACCTAGGATGTCTCCCATTAATCTTCTGTCTTCTTCAAGAACATTAGTACTTAATGAAAGCTCCGATTTGACTAGGCTTACTTGCTGTCCAGAGGCTAGCTCATAGATACGTAGCAAATCCCTTAGAGCTTCTCCTTGTTCTTTCTTGTTCTCGAAGAAAAATATACTGTCATCCGCGAAGAATAAGTGAGTAATCATTGGACCATTACTACTCACTTTAATTCCTCGAATCTTTCCTTCCTCAACTGCTCTTTTTGTGAGGGATGATAGCCCTTCTGCACATAGTAGGAAAAGATAGGGGGAAATAGGGCCCCCCTGCCTTAGCCCCCCTGTTGGTTTAAAGATCTTGGTTTGATGCCCATTAATCAGGGCATCATAACTCACACTGGTAACACAATTCATCACCATTTGTACCCAATCTTCATGAAACCCCAATCTCAACATTATGCCTTCAAGAAACTTCCACTCTACTCGATCATATGCTTTGGCTATGTCGAGTTTTGCTGCTACAAAACCCTTCTTCCCAGTCTTCCTGTTTTTCATTGCATGAAAACATTCAAAGCCAATCATTATATTGTCTGTGATGTTTCTGCCGGGCACAAATGCACTTTGAGTATCAGTGATGATTTCATCAAGCACTGATTTTAAACGATTGGCCATAACCTTTGACAATATCTTATAAAGCACCCTGCATAGAGCAATTGTTCAAAATTCCTTCGGAGTGACTGGCTTCTTTGTCTTGGGTATCATTGCTAATAGAGTATGGTTTAGGTAGGGAGGGACCTCACCTGTTAGTAGGATTCTCTGTAGTTTTAAGCAGACAGTGTCCCCAACTGTGGCCCAATTCTTTTGAAAAAAGAGGGCTGGCATTCCATCAGAGCTAGGAGCTTTGGTGAGTGCCATTTTAGAAAGAGCATCATAGATTTCCTCTCTAGAGAAAGGTTTCATCAGTTCATGATTCATCTAGGCTGTGACCTTAGGTTCCACCACATCAAGAACCTCATGGATACTGGGAGTTTGCTCAGCTGTGAAGAGCTGCTGTAGATGTCCAGTAAAAAAACCCATTACTTCCTTCTGCCCCCTACAAATAGTTCCATCTCCCCCCTGTAATTCCTTGATTGTGTTTCTACGCTTTATGTTCAAAGCCTTCTGATGGAAAAAGCCAGTGTTCTTGTCCCCTTCCTTCAGCCAATCGGATCTCGACCTCTGCTTCCATCTTATTTACTCCAAATCCAGCACTTCATTCAGTTCTCTCTCCAATGCTTTGCGTTGGATGAGCACAACTTTGGGGTTTTTTTTTTTAATTTTGAGATTTTGGCCAGAGCTCTCTCAATTTTCTTTCTCCTACCCTTCAGGCTCCCAAAGGTTTTCCATCCCCACTCTAAGAGAACTTTCTCGCAATTTTTGATTATGTCTTCTAGGGGTAGGTTTGGATCCCTCTGTCACTCAGCCTCAATGATAGAGGCACAATCTTCATGCTTCTACCAAAAGGCTTTAAACTTGAAATGTCATCCCCATTACACTTGTTACTCTTGAAGATTTAGCTCTATTTTAATGGGCGTGTGATCTGACACCCACCTATCCAAATGATAAACCCGAGCTTCTGGAACTCAGCCCTCCATTCTGCATTAGCTATTGCTCGATCAAGTCGTTGTTCAAGAAAATCTTCATCAATTTTTCCATTATCCCACATGAACATGTTCCCATAATACCCCAAATCCTCCAGGTGACACTCATCTAATGTTGCTTGAAACTCCATGTTCTGGACATCAGGAGGGTTCCTGCCATTCTTTTCCACGTAGCTTAGCACCTGGTTAAAATCTCCACATAACACCCAAGGTAGGTCAGATTGACCATGAAGTAGCTTTATCATATCCCAAGTTTGGGGCTTGTTCTCCTGTTCTGGCCATCCATAAATCCCTGTCAATCTCCATTTCTTCCCTTATGTACCCTCAGTAATCCAAACATCAATGTGGTTTTGAGTAGTTACCTTAACTTCAACTTGCAGCTCCTCCTTCCACATCATTATCAATCCTCCTGCTCTGTTTCTAGATCCCACACCTTTACCTCTTGTCCAGCCCAGTTTCTGTATCGTTTCCTCCCATTCATGTTCTTTTCTCTTAGTTTCCATGAGAAACACAATGCTGGGGCCTTGATCTTTAAGTAGCTCAGCTACTCTAGCAATTGTCGTGAGCTGAGCTCGAGCTCGAGCTAAATTATTAAAATTCGAGTTCGAGCCGAGCTCGAGCTGAAAAATTTATAAACGAGCCAAGGTCAAGCTAAGCAAAAACTCGACTCGAGTCGGCTTGTTTGCAGCCTAGCGACGAGCAAGCCTCTTCTATCACCTCCATCGTTGCATTCAGAGACGATTGACGCAAAGACCACGACGGGGGATAATTAAGAAATAATCGTTGTCACTTGTCACCACTAGGCTGGCAATTTGGATTGCCGCCGGTGACTAGGCTAGGCTGAGAGAAATAAAAAACGATGGGATGGATGAGATGAAGATACGATTAAGACCTGGACGGAATGGGGAGAAGGAGAACTTGGTTTTTGGTTGTAACATAATTTAATTGTGTTTTGTTACTATTTTGTCCTTCTTGTTATTGTAACAACGGTAAGGTTGTTGTCATATATGATACGTAATTAAGTTTCACAAAATTTTATTATGTTTCAGGAAAATGACAAATAATCCATGGTTTTTTTTTTCTTTGCAAATTTTACATGACCGGTTCTTTGACCAATTTTTTTAGCAATTAACTACCGAAGTTAAACCTCTTCTTCGAAAACATTAAGAAGAACTACAAGGTATTGAAGCTTGCACCACACAAAACAAAAGAATTAATAACGACCAAGCACAAAACAAAAGACGGTCTACAACGTAACACAAGAGAATCGAGTCAACCGTATTATTATAATACTCGCCTTGTCGACAATGGAAGGAAGGTAGTCTTTTTCTTATCCCCGCCTGAGGTAGTCGTCCAAATCCTGAAATGCAGTCTGCATCACGTTCTTGAGGTAGTTAATGTCGCCGTTACCCCTAGCACTCTCGTACCTAAACGACCAAGTAATCGTGCAGCCTGTGGCCCTAAGGTTAGTGCGGGAGGAAGGCACCACGGCCGTGGTGATGTCGACGCTGTCGAAGAGCCGCGGCACGAATGCTCCGTCGTCATTCATCAACGTCTTCATCGTCATGTTCGAATGGTCAACTTCAAAGATCTCTTCCCTCGCCGATCCCACCACCATGTTGTAAGCTGCGGCGGGCGGTTACACCAAACAAATGAAGCAAATAAATGACCGGCCGGCCAGCCAGCGATAACAGAAGTTAATTGTGTCATGTATGTAATGAATTAGGCATACCAGGACCAAATGTGATGTCACGCATAGAGCCTTCGGTGAAGCCGTCGCGGCCATTGCGCTTGATGCCGGCGTAGAGGTTGGGCATAGCCATCGGGAAAACAGCTGTGGCGGCGGTGACGGCGGTCCAAACATCGCTGGCGGAGGACAACATCCTATATGTCACGGTCTCGGTAACTAAAGGCATTTTTCCTTTTCGGCCAACATATACAGAGTAGGGGGAAGTTGAGTACTTGATGTATTGGATTGGCTCTAGGATGAAAATTCCACGCTTCGGGTATTTATATTTTATAGTGCTTGGCCTGTCTTCCATCTCCCACTTTCCATTCATTCCCCCTTCTAAATGGGTCCAACTAGAGGTGTCAAAACAAAATCCACCCGGTTAACCAGAATCACAACTTAGAACGCAATATGAATTGACGAAAACAACCCCCCAAATTGGTACAACTAGAGTTGTCAAAACATAACTCATCCGGTTAACCCGAATCGCCACTCCACCACACTCTGAATTGACTAAAAGTCAATGGTATGCAACATGTTCAATACATAACCCGATTGACCCGTAATCCGATTAACTGTCAAACCAATTGGTCCGCAGCCCGATTAACTAGAGATTCACTGCTTAACCGTCAACCTGAAATGAGGTTCACTGTCGTCAATGCTTTCCAAGAAATTAATTCAACACACTGACTAGTTTCTTTAATTTATCTTTTATAGGCACGTGTACGCATACGTTCACACATATTATTTGTACTTTGATAATTTCAAGACATCTACACCGTTGATTTCCATTTTAAGATTCAATGAATCTTATAGATTGGGTTACAAAATTGAGGAGTGGGGTTCACATATTAAAGGTTAGGGTATAGTATCATGCCTCAAACTTCGGTCAATTCATGGTTTAAATAGCAAAACTTAATGTGCATACACTAAGTATATACAAATATATATGTGGCAAAGGCTAGCGCATGCCTGGTGTACGCTGCACGCCTACGTTAACAACTATTATCTGTACCTTTGATAACTCAAGGAATATAAACCGTTGATCTTCATTTCAGATTAAATGAATCTTATGGTTTTGGTTATATAATTGAGGACTCGAGTTCACCCATTAGAGGTTAGGATATATATAGTATAATACCGCAAACTTCTGTTAATTTATGGTTTCATAACAAAACTCGACAAGTGTACGGTAAAGTAAACGTACGCTAGCCTGAATTCCACATATAAATAAATATATATATATATAGTGCCTTCTACGGTACCCCGGGTGAAATCCGGGGTATCCCATACCCTGAGTATGAAAACGCTATCTAGACCTCGAATTAGCAGGATTTTTGGGCATGATACTATACCCTAACCCTTAATGAGTGAACCCTAGGTCCTAATTATCTAAATCATAAACTATAAACTCTAAGATGGTGCATTGATTTTTTTGCCTATATTTGGACGAATCATAACCGTCGATTATTATTTATAACTAAATTGATATTGGGGTATAAAATTAAGTGAATTAAGACCTAGATTTTGATCTTTATGGGTTAGAGTATAGTATCATGTCTGAAAGATCAGTCAATTCAAGTTCTAGATAGCGTTTTCTTACTCAAGGTATGCGGTACCTCGGATTTCACCCGGGGTACCGTAGAACTCGCTATATATATATATATATATATATATATATATATATATATATATATATATATATGGTTCAGACTACAAGTAAGTCTGGCGTACACTTACCTTACCGTACGCCTGTCTATTTTTTATATTTAGATGTTGAATAAGCTAGAGTTTGGGGCATTATACTAATACCCTAACCTCTTATGGGTGAATCCCAGTCCTCAATTCTCTAATCCAAACCATAAGATTCATTTAATCTCAAAATGAAAATCAACGGTTCTTATTCGTCGAAATTATCATAGTACAAAATCAACGGTTCTTATTCGTCAAAGTTCAATTTTATAGAAAATAATAATTGACCATTGAGATTGGTTGGAGCTTATCGAAGTACATCTAATGGCCAGATCAATTGGAGTATACGGTTCTCTTGGAGTACATCTAGTGGCTTCTACAGTACCCTGGGTGAAATCTGGGGTACCGCATACCTTCAATATGAAAGTGCTATCTAGATGTCGAATTAGCATGATTTTCCGGCCTGATTCTATACCCTAACCCATAATGAATGAAACCTATATCCTGATTATCTAAATCATAAACTATAATCCTAAGATGGTGCGTTCATTTTTTGCCTATATTTGGACGAATCATAACCGTCGATTATTATTTCTAATTAAATTGATATTGGGTATAAGATTTAGAGAAATAAGATCTAGATTTTGATCTTAAGGGTTATAGTATAGTATCATGTCCAAAAAATGAGTCAATTCAAGGTCTGTTTAGGGTTTTCATACTCAAGGTATGCGGTACTTCGATTTCACCCTAGATACCATGTATGTGTGCGTGTGTGTGCATGCTTCCGTGCATACGTGTGTGTGTGTGTGTGTGAGAGAGAGAGAGAGAGAGAGAGAGAGAGAGAGAGAGTGAGTTAATCAAAGATACGACATACATTGGGTAAGAAAATGATAACTAAACCTTGAATTAACCGTAGTTTGAGACATGATATTATACCCTAACCCTTAGAGATTAAAATCTAGTTCTTAATTCTATATATTTCATAACTAAGATAAATTTTATTAGAAACAATAATCAATGGTTATGATTCATCAAAATACAGCCAACAAACTATATGCTCCATCTTAGTGTTTAGGTTCTATGTTTTAAATAAATAAGAACTAGGTTTCACACATCAAAGGTTAGGGTATAGTATCATGTTGCAAAAGCTTGTTAAATCGAGGTTTTGATATCATTTTCTTATTCAAGGTATGCTATACCTTTTATTCTGCTTAAGGTAGTTGTCGGTTAACCGTTAACTGACTATCAAGTGATTTGAAAATTTAATTTTTCGTTAAGACCATATATATATATATATATATATATGGTGGCGTCTTCAGTGCACTCACTTTTTTGGGTGCATTCAGTGCACTCACTTCATAACCGTCATTTTAAACATGCGATTTATGTCAAAATGATGTCATTCATCACTTATGATGTGATGAACAATAACGCACATGAATTTGCACAAAAACCATTGAAGATTTACTTTAATTTGAAGGATTTAGAGTTTAGAGATTTAGGGTTAGGGTTTACAATTTGGGGTTTAGGGATAGAACTCAAAATTGGAGGTCTAGGGCGTAGGGTAATCCACTAATTAGTTGTTATAATATGTTATATCATCATATTACACTAATTCTATAAATTAAAATTCAAAATTCGACACCTTAAGACTAGTTTTTGAGTTGGGTGCATTGAGCGCACTCATTTTTGTGAGTGCACTGAAGTAGTCACCATATATATATATATATATATATGGGGAGTTCTACGGTACCCCGGGTGAAATCCAGGGTACCGCATACCTTAAGTAAGAAAACGCTATCTAGAACTTGAATTGACTGATCTTTCAGATATTATACTATACTCTAACCCATAAAGATCAAAATCTAGGTCTTAATTCTCTAAATCTTATACCCCAAGATCAATTTAATTAGAAACAATAATCGACGGTTATGATTCGTCCAAATATAGGCAAAAAAAGTAATGCACCATCTTAGGGTTTATAGTTTATGATTTAGATAATTAGGACCTAGGGTTCACTCATTAAGGGTTAGGGTATAGTATCATGCCCAAAAATCATGCTAATTCGAGGTCTAAATAGAGTTTTCATACTCAAGGTATGTAGTACCCCGGATTTCACCCAGTGTACCGTAGAAGACACCATATATATATATATATATTCTCAGTCAGTTGTCGGTTTACCGCTAACTTACTATGAAGTTATCAATCCTATGATCCTATCAATAGATTTACCACTAAATCGTAATTGGTAAGGTATAACTACACCATTAACTTGGAGTATGATATACCTCATGAGTACAATGCCCGTATGCTCCAAATGATTTGACTGTTAGAGTTATATTAATGAGCTCCGACCAATCTCAATGATCAACTAGTATTTTCTGTTAAATTGAACTTTGGGTTTGTCTTTAGAAAATCGAGGCTTGGGGTTTAACCATTAGAGGTTAGGGTATTGTATCATACCCTAAACTCAGTTTAATTCATGATATAGATAGATATATCTCACTAGGAGTACATGAAGTATATTATACTCAAGGAGCATACGAGTCTGACATATATTTGTATAGTAAAGTCTAACATACACCAAGCAAAAGCTAGTGTATGTCGTACACTAGGCAATCTCATTGTACTCGTCCATCTCAACAGTGAGCACAAATGCGGTAATTTATTTTATAATTCAAAAAATAGAACCCGCAATAACAAGTACAATGTAAATTGTCTAATATACAACATACATTAACTTTTACCTGATAATAAATAGTACCATCCATATATATACTTCACATCGATTTTGTTCTCCCTTCACATATATCTACTACGAAAGTTCCAAAACTTTCATATTAAAACTATAAGAATAAATGGAAAGAGTATTAAAAACTTGTTACGATACATGAGTGAAATTTTAAGTATAACTTGTATCGAGAACATGTTTTTCGCAGAAACTTCAAATCGGGAACATGTTTTTTCTGTCCCCGAATCGGGAACATGTTTTTTCTGCCATCGGGGACATGTTTTTTCTGAAATAAAATTAAAATATGATAAGAATAATCTTATATTTTCAAAACAGCTTTTCACAGAAGCTACAAATCAGAGTTTCTACTTTTATGTTATATAAAAGCACTTTTCGGAAATCTCAACTTGCATTCTCATGGGCGGACTAGACATATGAACAAATCTGTCTTTAACAAGTTTTTAAACCTGTTTCTAAACATAAATTGATTTTTTGCATTGCATTAATATTTTAGATGGTTGTTGATTTAAGCTGGAATTATATTAATAAGTGTGCGGACTAGACATACGAACAAGTCTTTCTTTAATAAGTCGTTCTTATAAAAATTATATTAACGCATATTTTTCGTTGAATTATATTAATACATTTGAGGTCCACTCTTTTTTTTTTCATTGTTTTTTATAGAAAGTTTAGGAACCTTCACAGCTGGTATATGTGAACATGTGAATGCGAGAATACAATGGATGGCAGGATGGGTATTATGGAATGGGTTAGGATGGTTACCATTTTTTTTGGTAGCCATCGTGACTATCTATATCTCTACTTTCCATTCTCAACATTTTTAAATTGACGGTCATGATTGATTGATGTTAATTTTGGAAAAAAATAATAACCACACAGGATTACTATCCTTTAAATATAACTTTCCATATATTTAATCAGTGAGCAAAATCGATATAATTAATCTTAACTTTGTTTTTCTAATTAGTGACCAAAATCAGTGACCACCTTCAAGAGGTTGTCAGATTGACAACCAAGGGCATTTTGGGTATGAAAAAAGAATATATTAATTATCATTTTTGTATTAATTACATTGAGAATTAAAAATTCATATTAAATACAAGTCTTTTAAATTTAAATCTTATACATTAATATCTTTCTATCTCTCTCTCTTCCTTTCTCCAGCGGCAACTCCGCATCGACCGACAGACTTTTTCTCCGTTGAAATCCTTCCGGCAGACTTTCTCCGGCGGACTTCCTCCGGCAACTTTAAAAATGTACCAGTGCGTTAAAAAGTGTATCAGTCCATTAGTCTACTGGTAATGATTTTTTCTAGTAGTACGCTACCAGTACAGCGCTACCCCCTACCATATTGTATCGTACCACTAGCACTAGTAGCGGTACCAGTAGAGAATAACACAAAAAACCATATGGTAGTGGTACCAGATGCTAGTGGTACGCTACCACTACCAGCTACCTGATGGTAGTGGTAGGTACCACTATCACTGGTACGCTACCAGAAGAAAAATGGCACCATTAAAAAACCAGATCTAGAAAAGGGGAGTTGGTGACGGGAGAGAGAGTCAGAGGGTGACCTCGCGACGACGACAGTGGTGGGAGACGAAGGGCGGCGAGAGGGCTCTGACGGGGAGAGGATGATTGTGTCGCGGTGGTGAG